TTTTGTACTATTTTTTTAATAATAAAGTTAAAAATAAATTTTAAATAAATATTGCCACAAACACTTAAGAGCGTCATAAATTCCTTATGGATAGTGACTACATTATCAAAACCTTACTTGTTTTATGCATATTTTTCCAACAATTAAGCTACACTTTCTTGCAATTTTTACTATCTAATCTAAGCTATATCCTTTTTGGTTTTATTTCACGTTCAACTTGTTAATAAAATCCCTATTCTTAAGCGTCCCTACCAAATCTCTCTCCATATTCTAACGGAAAAAGCGAATCAATAACACTCCAAATTTACAATAAAATACTATAACTATTAGAACATATTTACTTTGGTATCTAATTTTATTAATGGGGAGATTTTCGCTTTTAGATCCTAAAATATTGACGAATTCTGATTTTGATACCTTGATATAGCTGGTTAAGCATACTTAACCTTCGATTAATAAAAAAAATGCACTCTTGATCCTTGTGCTCGTGAATCTACATTAAAGTTAACAAATTATTAACAATTAAATCATCTAATTATCCATACGTTATGCTAAATTTGTATAATTACTCCATATTTGGGTAATGTATAGCCTTTAAAAATAATCTAAATATAACATATTTTCTATTATATAGAAACGGTAAAGAAAGAATTGCAGCCCATGTCACTTGGCCTAATAGCCCAACCGAAAATGGCCCACATTTGAAGCTCTTACCCTATTTAGCCCATGTTTTACATAACTTGAAAGAAATTTTTCAGCCTTTAGCCCACTATTAAAGACATAGTTTTAGGGTTTTTGTTATTTTCTTCTTTCTTCATTCCCTTGTCTCTCTCACCGCCTCTCACTTCTTTCTTTCTAACACACATAGATCTCTCATCCTCTCTTAAAATTGGCCATTAGCAATGTATTATGCTTCTCTTACAAACACACAGCATCTGCTACATATCTGCCTCCCCCTTTTCCGCAGATTATCTTAGTCAATAGCTGAAGCAACTTCAATTTGTGAGGAGCACAGCAGCTTTATTCTCCCTCCTCTATCCCCCACGCAGTTCTGCCATTAATGGCTTAAGAAGGCTCGGGCTCCTACTCCGTCGTCCATGGTGGCAAGCAAAAGAATATTGAAGATTTTTGAAAGAAACATGAAAATACACACAGATCTGTAAATAAATAGCTCTCAAACTTGATTTGTACCAAAAAATAACCACTAATGTTGGAAGATTTTGAAGTTTGAAGTTCTGGTCATTATTATTATGACCTTGAAGTCTCAAATCTGAAATTGGGTTTGTATAAAAATCATAACTATGTAGCAGTTTGTATCAACATTGTATACTAGTGTATAATTGTGTATATGGATATACAAACACCTCTTATACACTATTATACATGTTTATACAAAGTTATACATTGTTGTATAATTGTGTATAAATGTGTATATTTGTGTATAATATTGTATAATTATATATTTTTCAGTTTATAAGGATGTATATACATTGTTAGTGTGTAAGAGGCCTTTACAGAAGTTTGACACTTCTTTCTCATCTTCTTTTTCATGTAATGTGTTGTATGAGCGTTGGAGGGATTCTACAATTCATTTACCAAGTTTTTATTTTTCTTTTATCCTGTTGGATTGCTTCAGCAATTGCACATAAAAGTGTTTGAATTATGATTCAGCAATTGCTTCAGCAGTTTACAGAAGTATGTGCTTTTTTAAAAATCACAAGGACAAAATATGATTAAATATATACATTTGATGAATTATACATATACCTCAAATGCTGCTCTAGTCCTAAGATCAGTAAATTATGGCCATGGGAAATTATTTTCTTGAGTTCAAATTCTTGTTGCACCTTTCATTGTCTTATGGCATTTAACTGTAGCGAATAAACGTAAGAATCTCATAGTTTCTTCTTCGTCTCAAAAGCAAAAGAATCTCACGGATCTTCCATTTGATATTTTAATCAACATCATCAAAAGATTGCCATTCAAATATCACTTCCAAATCTGTCTGGTTAGCAAATCATGGCGTTCTCTATTATTCACACCCGAAATCGCCACTCATATCAACATAGTTTCTGATAAAAACTACACATTATTGAGTTACAGTGATGTTATAAGGCCCAGTGATGTGAAATGGAAATTCAAGATTCCAATAGAATTGTTATCTATAGAGTATGTTCTATTGAAACCTATTAATGGTATACTTTGTATTTGTGGACCTATATTGTCCCATGTTTCGTATGTCTACTTGTGGAATCCTTTAACTAAAGAATTCAAACCTTTTCCTAGGCCAAAAACTCATTTGGGATATGTTGCTGTTAATTTTGGCTTTGGTTATGTTCCTAAAACCAATGATTATAAAGTAGTGAGGATAGTAAAACATGAGAGAAAGTCTGATTCGTGGATTCATGAAATTTACTCTTTGAATCGCAATTCTTGGAGAAGGGTTAAGAATTCGTGCTCGAATAGTTATGTAGCTATCGATTTGGAGAAAGAAATGATCACTGAGGTGGGTTATGTGGGTTATTCATATAATTATATAAGAAGGAATCAGCAATGTGAAGATAAATTAATTTGGAGAAATGAAAGTGATAATCCTATGTTGTTGGCATATTATGAAGAGAGATATTCGTCTTACAATGCTGTAAGGAAATTCGCTTTTGTTGGGAGCCTTGTTTCACTCAATAGAAATCATGACAATCTTGGCTAATAGGTGGGAATCCTTTAAACATTCTTGGTATTTGTGATTTTTTAAGTTATATGAACCCACTATATAATTCTGTTTTATATTGTCAGTGCATAAAACTTAAACTCATTGCGTTTTGCTTTTCTTACCAAATGTTTAGTAGAGTATAGTGGGAAAATGGCATGTTAGGCCTTGAAGAGCATAATCTTTGTTATTGGGTAAGAAGCTTTTAGTAGTGTTTTTTTATTTGGATATTAAATGTAGCTAATGATCAAGAGCAATAAAGAATGAATCTTTTGGGCCTTTTATTTTCAACTTTTCAGTGTGGATTGATGTTTTTTAGGCAATGCCAAAGAAGCTTCTAGGAATGTGGATGCTGAATATTCGATAGATTATAATAGAAATTTATATAATCAACATTTTCACTTTTAGGAAGCACGACACTTCCCTGAATCCTGCATAAATGCGGAATGCTTTATGCACTGGACTGTTCTTCTTCAACAAATACTAGACTTATTTAAACAAATGACGCCCGAATAAGATGAAGTGTCTTATGAAGACATTCATGTGTGCTACTATGAAATTGTTCAATAATCGCCTTTAATGAAGGAGATTCCTCGTCAAGACAAATACGTTCTTTAAAATACAACACTCCATCTCAAAACTCCAGGAATCAATAGCTTCACCATCTTGTACTAAGCGAACCAAATGTTGAACATTTGGGGCTAGTCGAATGTTCGTTCTTTATTGTTTCTAGCCACCCTGGAACTAGTAAAGTAATCGGCTTCAAACTGCCAACAACCTCATAATTTCTCACGAAAGGGGTGCTCTGATGGTAAGCAACCTCCACTTCCAACCAAAAGGTTGTGAGTTCGAGTCACCCCAAGAGCAAGGTAGGAGTTCTTGGAGGGAAGGATGTCGAGGGTCTATTGGAAACAGTCTCTCTACCCCAGGGTAGGGGTAAGGTCTGCGTACACACTACCTTCCCCAGATCCCACTAGTGAGATTATACTGGGTTGTTATTGTTGTTGTTGTTGTTTTTTGCATTCCGCAACAAAGTCAAATCCCATAAGCTTAAATAACCTTTGGCCTTAATTGTTGGAAACTCTGATGATCCGTCTGAACAATAAATTGCTTACCAAAAAGATAAGGCCTCCATCTTTGAACAGCTAAAACCAAGGCAAGGATTTCCGTATCATAAGTGGAAAGCAACAAATTTTGAAGTTTCACTAAAGAAAGCAATAGGTCGATCTTGTTTCAAAACTGCACCAATTCCTGATCCTGAAGCAGCAGCAACAACAACAAGCAGCCCAGAAATTTCCCATAAGTGGGGTCTGGGGAGAGTAAGATATAAGCAGCTTTACCCCTACCCTGAAAGGGCAGAAAGATTGTTTCTGATAGACCCTCGGCTAGAGAACGGAAGAAAAAAAGTAATTGCAACAAATAGGAATAGCAATAAGATAAAATAAGACTGAAGCCTAGAAAACAGTTAAACTCGAGGTAGTAATAGCAATCTATAAATAAAAGAATATCATACTAACACGAATGCTAGCGAATTGAGTAGGACAAAGAGAAACGCTGAACTGCCTACTAGCCTTCAATTACAATTTTTTTTGAAAAATCCAGCAAATCAAGAATAGGAGCTTGTCTCATTGCTTTTCTCAATTTGGTAAAAGCTTTTTCAGTAGTAAAAGTCAGCAAAAATCCATCCTTTTTGAGCATTTGTGTAAGAAGATCAGATATCTTCCCATAGTGTTGAATGAATTTCCTGTAATAACCAAAGAGTCCCAAAAACTCCCTCATAGCTTTAGGAGTTGTTGGTTTTGGCCATTTGGCGATAGGTATCACTTTTAGCCCACGCTAAAAATTATTTGCATTCGATAGCCGAAAAAGTGTATAAAATTTGTATAATTTTTTTTATATAACATACATAATATGTATATGTACATATATATATATACAAAAAAATTTAAATATATTTTTTTGGTTATTATTTTAAAAGCGGCTATACAATGTCATTTTTCCTTAATATTTTCAGGATCCACTGCAACACTGTTGTTGGCTATAATATGACCAAGGTACTTAACTGACCTCAAGCTAAAAATGCTTTAAATGATCCTCCGAGGATCTACTATAGATTAGAATTTCGTCAAAGAAAACCAAAATAATTTTTTGGAGATGATGTTTGAATACTTCGTTGATAAGAGAGTGGAAAGTAGATGAAGCATTTGTAATGCCGCATAACATCACCAAGAATTCATAATGTCGTGCTATCTCGACGTCAGATGGATGATCATTGCTTTAGCAAAGATTTAACTTTGAAAAAAATTGTGCTCCTTACAACACGTCTAGTAGTTCATCAATAACATAAATGGGAAATTTGTCCTTCATCGTGACTAGATTTAAGGTACGATCATCAATACACATTCTTATTTCCACCAGGCATAGAAAGAAAAAAAGTGTATATAAATAGGCCTACAATATTACAATAATAACAAAATTTACTATAATTACAATATTAACATTTATTAGAATTTAGAACTCATAACGGTTAGCACCTGTATTATCCTGCACAAAAAAACAAAACAACCACAAATCAACAATGAAAAATGAAATGTTAGATTTCCCAAATAAAGAAGGAGAAAAAATTATGGCAAGAATGAGCACCAGGCATTATTGGACGGATTTAAATTTTACACAATTACAATGTAAAGAATTTTACACTATTGGTGCAATTAAACTTATTAAAGCAAGTTATTATTCTAATATTTAATCAACTGTATCGAGCTTGCTGTGGAGAACTATATATTGTCAATTTATCATAGATCCTTACAACAACGTGCTTGAAATTACTAAATTATTATACTAGACATGCCTAGTGAAAGTATGGCTTACATAATAAGAATCATGAACATTTAAGAGAATTATAACCTAAACATAAGACTATTTTTTTCCAAAAAAAAAATAAAAAAAAAAAAGAAAAGAAGAAAGAATCTAGCTTAAGACTATATTGTAAAAGAAGACAGAGCAAATGGAAGAGTATGAATAGAAATAGGGCACTATGGTGCACAAAGTATCTCATTTTTACGCTGGGTCCGGGAAAGAGCCGCACCTTAAGGGGCAATGACTGAGCCAGGATTTTTACCAAGGCGTGTCAAAATATAAACAGCTAGATACATTGAAAAGTGAAGGAAAGTCAACGTATAGTAAATATACATAAAAGAAAAAAATTTATCTAGAAATACAGTGTAATTTTTCGGTGAAAGGGTAGCGATTGACACCCCTTGGTTGAATGTGGCTCCGTCATTACTTAGGGGTGTGATATAGACAGCCTACCCCGATGCAAGTATTAGTGGCTAGTTTCACGATTTGAACCCGTGACTTATAGGTCACACGAAGATAACTTTACCGTTGCTCCTAGGCTCGTTTTATGGAAAGCATGAATAGTTACAAGTTAATTACTATATTTCATACTTGACCTCAAACATATAGGACCCGAAGAAAGAAGTAAATCAAGGAAAAGATGTCTTACAATCTCAGAGATATGGACCTCGACCGAACTTGCATAGTTGTCTTGCATGTCCTGCTGAATTTGCTTAGCAGAATTCCCAACAGATTCTTTACACCTCCTTATATCAATTAGAGAAAGTGTGATTATATCTGCAAAATCTTGAGGAATTGAATCCAAGAACCTGCAACGTTCAAGAAATAGTCGTTCAAGGCACGGAAAGTGATCACAACTGGCTCTCCAGTACTCAAAATCCAAATCTTCCAGGAGCAAGAGTTTCAAGCTAGGAAATCCTTCATCTACTACTTCCCACGCCTCGCCTATGCAGGCACGATATGTTAGTTTAAGGACCTCGAGTTTAGGCAGCTTACCAACAATGCTCAAATCATTCCATCTCAAAAAAGTCCGACTAAAAGCTAACTTCTTGAGGTTTTGTGGAAATACATCTGCTGGTGGAAGGAGCAAAGGTCGCAAAGTACCTGAATGTGGTCGTTTTCGCCCTGTAAACCTTAAGTAATCTGAAGGTCTGCTTTTCAGAAAGAAAGGACGAACCGGAAGATAGTTATAATACAGATGAAACTCCAATTCCTCAAGCTGATCTAAGCAGCGAAAATCATAGATGTTCCTGCAACTATAAAAGTCTTCCGCGATGCCATGTATTTGCAACTTCTTTAAATTGGGAAATAGTCTAAAAACAGAACTAGTACAATACCAAGGATTCCATCCGGACAGATGTTGCAAATTTTTCAGGACCAAACTTTTCTCTGTAGGCTCATGATATCGCAAGTAATTCCAATCCAAACGGAGGTGCCTCAATTGCTGCATCGCCAAAATTTCTGATGGTAATATGAAAGGATATGGCCGCTCCCATTGCCAACGCTTGAGATGTGGAAAATTAAGTATAAAAGTTTGCAGATAGCATAGGCTAGATATTGATGGAGGAATGTCTATTGATGAGGGAATTTCTTTTCCTATATACTTCTCCACGGCAGGAGAAAGAGTCAAAGCAAGGTATCTCAAATGAATTAAATCAAGTATTCCGCTGGGGAAAGTACCACATCTCACTAAAGCAAGATCTAGTATTCTTACTAGCTTGAAACGCAATGACTTTTGAACAAACCAGGTCCCTTTAAAACAGATAATGGAACGGACCTCATTATTAGGATACATATCCAAACTTTTCTCAATTATACCGTGAAACACTTGGTTCAATTGGATACTGATCCGGCCTTGACCGTTAGATGAAAAATGCATGGATTGCTCTAATGGATTTTGATCATCGTTTTCTCCAATAACATTCACAAAATTCACATTTCGAGCTTCCCTTAAGCAGAGTTCACGTGTCACATCATGCATTCCACAACTCTCGATTTTCCCATCAAAATTCAAATTGTGGATGAAAATTAAGCTTCTATCTATAAGATCTTTTATATATTTTTCTGCCACTTCTTCTATGCTTTTCATCTCTTCCACCTTTAAAAATCCCTCTGCTGCCCATAATTCCACAAGTTTATCTACAAAAATTAGTTCATCCTCTGGGAAGATTGCAAAATATAGAAAGCACGGTTTTAGGTGATTAGGCAAGTAATGGTAACTCAATGCCAACACCCTCATGCATTGGGCATCAACATCTGTGCTTACCACTGAACTTACATTGTCGGCAACACTTTGCCACTCATGCAATGCTTTACCAATTTTGGAGAGAAGTCCAGCAATCACAGTAATTGCTAGAGGTAATCCTCCACATTTTAATGCAATTTCTTTCCCGATTATGTCAAATTCAAGAGAAAAATATTCTTTCTCAAAGACCTTTCCGCAGAGTAAATTCCAACTTTCATTAGAATTCAGAAGGCGCATTTGGAAAGGAGGCTTACCTGAGCTAGCATATTCAGCCACATCCACATTCCGAGTAGTCAGGAGTATCCGGCTTCCATTATTACAATCTGAGAAACATAGTTTTATATCATCCCAAGCTTCTGTAGTCCATATGTCATCAATGACTACCAGGTACCTCCCGCCTTTTAGAAGCTTTTGGAGTCGATCTGCTAGTTGCCCAACATCTTGCTGATCATAAAATTCATAAGTCTTTCCACTTATAGAAAAAAGAAGGCCTAGGAGTACATTTCTCGCACGATACTCTAGTGAAACAGTAGCTTTTGCACGAATGTCAAAGTGAGACATAATGAACGGATCACTGTAAATTTTGTTAGCCAAAGTTGTCTTGCCTATGCCACCCATCCCTACAATCGAGACAACTTCTAGTTCACTTGCTCCTCTGGTAAGTTGATCCTGCAGCATCTCGAATTCAGTTTCATGACCAACCATCGTATTCTCAAGCTCTAAGGCAGGTTGAGATACATCGGCAAGAGACAAATTTTGTGCTTCCAGATCTTTGCTATTGGTATACATGTTCTGCACTGCCATCCACTTGTTCATCGCGAAACCAATGTGTCCTACTGCTTGTTTCAAGAGGGAAAAAAGTTCCCAAGAATCTATTCTTCGTGTAACTGCGTTTTTTGCTAAGAAAACTTTCCTTGATACAGATTCAACCATACCTTCCGCGCTACATGCTAGCTCTATGATTTCAGCTTCCAAACTTTTCAATACCTCAATATCATCGCCTATTACTTTCAATGGTTTCTCCAAAATAGATCTCAAGGATTCAAGCTTTTCGTAGAACGACTGCAAATTACATCCAGTAAACTGCATAGATTGTTGTATGGTGCTCATAAGGGAAGTAACAGCAGCATAAGCCATGTCCTTCTTTCTCTCTTATGTGTGTGATAGAAGGCAGAATATCACTTAGTATGATTACTACAAATTGCCAAAAGTTCCAAATTTCTCAATTTAAAAACAGAACAAACAAAGGTTTTTCTTTTATTTCTTGCATTATTTAACATTTCCATCACATCTCCAGCTTGGTCCACTCTGTAGGCCTGTTGCGGAAGCCAAATGTATAAAGTGTGAATAAGTCACAACTACTATACCAAAAATTATGACAGCCACCAAATAATAAATAAGACAATAAAGCAATAATAAAGGGAACACCAGAATTTACGAGGTTCGGCTAATTTTGCCTACTCCTCGGACACAACCAATATTTTATTCCACTCCAAAAATACAAGTGAAATAATACTAAAGAGAGAAGATACAAATGCCTTAAACAGATGAGAAGGCAAATGAGAGGTGTGTTTCAATCCTAAACATTAGGCCTTCTTTTATAGGGGAAAAATCCCCCCCAAACTTAACTCCCAACCAATGTGGGACTTTGGCATTTTGCCAAACTTCAACACTATCAACCAGCTGGAAGTCCAACTCTGGTTTTAGTTTTTTACACTTACAAATCTGAATAGTTGCAAAATATTTAAGAAAATCTATGATATTAAAGTGTTAATAATCTTAAATGTTTGTCACTTTTCGCTTCTCATAAGTCAAACTAAGTAAACTTTAACGAATATTTTCTAGTTTATGCATTCAGCATAAGTTTTACTGGTTATTAGCTTATGAAGTGAAACATATTCAGTAGTGAAAATGATAAAGTTACCAACAGGAAAAAGAAGAAAAATTCCAGGTCATTATCACATCATAAAAATGTCCCACTAATCTATCACGTAAACCAAAGGTCTCTCTCTTTTTGTCCAACTTTGTCTAAAGATGATAGAATTCTATCAGGAAAAAGTAGAAAACAATGTGATCGTTAATTATCTTTGTTACTATTATTAAAGGGAGCCTTAGCGTAACTGTTAATGTTGCTGCCACGTGACCAGGAGGTCACGGGTCCGAGCCGTCGAAACAGCCTCTTACAAAAAATACAGGGTAAGCCCTCGTATAATAGACCCTTATGGTTCGACCCTTCCCCGGATCCCGCGCATAACGAGAGCTTAGTGCACCCGGCTGCCCTTTTGTATTGTTATCTTCTTGCTTCTTCCTGCACTTTGTTCAATAGGATGAATTCGGACCACCAATGCTGTGTTAATATTAGTTGTTAATCTTAGTTTAATGTGCAAGTCATCCTAATTGGTTAGCTCCTTGATATACTATTCTGCAAAATTTACTTAAAACTTTGTGCTTATTACCTTCAATGTGGAGTATAGTGCCAAATCTAAGTAATACTTTCAGTATATTGACCAAAAGAAAAGGACAACAATACTTGTTCCTTGAATTAAAATTCTATAGCTCACCAGAAAAATGCTGCTCAAGGGGGGTTATTTGTCCTATTCAAAAGGAGAAGCGGGTATCCATTAAGCGTTAAGGGGATTTAGTGGTATTTACTCTAATTTAATTGCATATTTTCTGAATTTATTCACTAGTCATTTTAAGCAAAAATGAGATCCATTCGGTTAAAAATTGTAGAGCAAAAATGGAGGGGAACTAAATATATATATATATA